CAGCGCGCGCAGCAGCGGCAGCTCAGCTTGCGCAGCATCCAGTTGAGCACCTGCTTGATGAGGATGGAGATGACATTGAAGAGCGAGTAGATGCAGCACACGCCGAGCAGGATGAAGAGGAAGTTCCCCAGGCGGTACAGCCCCTGGTTCCGGTAGGCGGCGTGCTGGCTGCTCACCAGGTCCCCGAAGCCGATGGTGCTGAAGGTGACGAAGCAGAAGTAGAGCGAGTCCACGTAGTCCCAGCCCTCCACGCTGGTGTACATGGCCGAGGCGCAGCAGGACAGCAGCACGGCGAACAGGCCCAGAATCAGCAGCACGTGGTACACCGAGGGCTTCCAGCCCGCCAAGCAGTCGGCCTCCGAGAGCGCAGAGCCGCGGCCGAAGGTGGCGGGCAGCAGGCCGCTGCGGCGCAGCTGGTGCTCCCGGCAGGCGCGCATGATGAAGGCCAGCAGCGAGATGATGCGCTCCAGGAAGAGGTTGAAAAACAGGATGGTCCCAGCGCAGCCAAACAGCCCATAGGCGATGAGGAAGGCCTTCCCACCCACCGTGGCGGGGGTGGTCATGCCGAAACCTGTGGAGACAGGGCAAGGGTCAGGGAGGTCCCGGCTGGGCAGGAGGCCCTAGTGGGTGGGCGCTGTGTGTATGCAGGCGGTGACATGGCTCCTGTCTGGAGTGGTATCACTCAAGTGGAGAGGAATCAGTATTCAGACATTTCTCTCCCTTAGTGGCACTAGACATTGTTTCTGAGCTTGGCAGCCCATAAACTGATGGAGGAGACAGGGCCCCTTCTGTTGGGGATCTATAAACCAAAATGGGCGAGGCAAGGTGGTCACTAGGAAGGACCCATCAGGACACAACAGAAACCACTGCACAGATGCAAACCACTGAGATGCCGCAAAGCAAGTGTCACCTGCTCTTCCACCCCTCCAATCGGTTTTTTTAATGTGACAATGGCACGCCTGGGCCTTGTTAGGATAGAATGCCATAAAGGCTTCATTTTATATGGGATTTCTGGGGACCAGGTAGAGTGTGTTCAGTCCAGGTAGCTATATTTGATGGTCTCTGAAAAAGGGGTTTATGAAACTGACAAAGGATTGTTTGCGAAGGAGGCCACAATAGCCAGAGAGTAAACATGGCTGCCTTGAGTGTCAGCTTCTCACCCAAGGACCACGTCATCCTTACACTTGCCAAGGGAAAGGTTTTGGTCCAATGCGGGCCTGTGCTGTGTGTGTCTGGGGTCGCTTTTGTCTTGGCAGTTCTGTTCTGTGCCTGGGCAGCTGCTTATTTGCTTTGAACTCTTCTAATTAAGTCTTAACTTACCCACTTATTCAAAGCACAGTCTGTAAAGGAGATACTTTATCAATTGATTTCTGCAGAAGGCTCTGCTCGTGCCATGCAGGACAGCACAGAGTGGCAGCTCTGCGCCTCCAACCTGAGCTCTCAGCCTGCTGCTGCTGTCGTCTCTTGGTGGGACTCATGCTTGCCTGACTCTGGCTACAGGAGGGGGTTTCATCTCTTTGTAGGAAGAGTCGCTGCTGCTTGGAGTCTGAGCTGAAAATGAATCATCTGTCTGAGTAGCACTATGGCACCCGTCAACACCTCTGCAGCAGAGGTCAGCAGTTAATTCATACTCAGTGTCAGGAGGGCGACCTGTGCTGCCAGTGGGGTGGGGCCAGCCCCAGGAAGTGTGTGTGGGGTGTGTGTGTGTAGAGTTTGGTCTCCCTGGGCTTACTATCTCCTTAAAAGCGTCTGAGAAAATATTTTTTCAGAGTAATTCCTTAAGCCTGTGTGTTAATCATTCTCTAGATTCCCTGGAGGAAATGCCCACTTGCTTGACTGTGGTCTTGATCTTATGCCTAATGACTCAAGTTAGGAGAAAATCTTATGATCATGACCCTCACGTCGAGGAAGATGGATTATATCCCTAGATTTAGAATTTGCCCACAAAAGAATGAAAAACCAAATTAGCAATGTAACCAGGAATTTGATGGAGGAATTTTGCTCCTCTTTAAAGCCAAATTCAAGTTCTTAAGTTCATTAGAAAAAAAAAATCACCTGATTTACTTTTTATGTGCAGGTTTGCTTTCAACGGTTTCAGTTACCCATGGTCAACCATGGTCTGAAAATAGTAAATGGAAAATTCCACAAATAAAAAATCCATCAGTTTTAAATTATCCGCCGTTCTGAGTAATGTGGTGCAATTTCATGCCATCCTGCCTAGGACGTGAATCCTCCCTTTTTCCAGCACATCCACTCTGTATATGCTTCCCGCGCATAGTCACTTAAGTAGCCAGCTTGGTTATCACCTCAACCAGTACTGCATGAGCATCTGTCCTCCTGGATGTCCCTGAATGATGGAACCAGAATGAGACCTATTTCTCAGCCCCCCAGTTTTCCTTCTCTACTAAGGTAGGGCCTTTACAAGGCAGCACCACCAGATATGCAGCTGGAAGATCAACCACCACCCATTCATTCATTCCTCAGCAGACATGTACTGGTGACATAGTTTGGCAGGCCTCATACTAGGCTCAGGGATATGGTGGAAAACCAGACAGATGCAGTCCCTACCCTCACAGAGTTTCTGGGTTGCCTTCTTAGAGGTTTTGTACAGATGCTCACCCCTCTGCTGCCAGCAGCTCATCCCTGAGCCAGGGTACAACTTTTCCCTGCTGCCCCAACAGAGAGGCTGGGCCAAAACTTGTCCTGGGGTCTCCTCATGGTCGTGACTGCAGGCCTAAAATGATCTCAAATGCTTGATTGGCTGTGATTGTGGTACTGTCTGCCCAGAAGTGGACAGGCAGCTCACAAGGTTCTCTGACAACACAGAGGGCACCCAAAGCAAATGTCCTTCTCACTGGCCCAATTCCTGAGGTCTGAGCTGGGGAACCT